TTTTGCTAGCCACAACTGTGCACACCTGGACTGAGAGCGTGAAATCACAGTGCAAAGAAATATTTTTGCCACACAGCTGTGTTGGGGTTTTCTTTTCTTTTTTACTAGAAAGAAGGTAGAGCGAACTAAATGTTCACTAGGATTCATTTTGATACATTACAACTGTGCGCCGTGTCAAACATGATTCATGTCCTCGTTCATGTCATATTTTCCTGTCACTGTGACAGGAACTGAAAACAGCTGATGTCTAGGAGGTAGAAAGCAGGTGGCTGTCTCAAGCTTAATTCACAGTTTCATCGCACACAAACATGGCTCAATTTGTATTAAAATTTTTTGGGTACATGTCTCGCTGCTTCATAAATACATTCCATGCAATCACATTAAATGAGGGCCTGAAAGCTGCGGTTTGCTTGGCTGCCAGTCATCTGTGTAACCGTCTCACTGACACAACAAAGTTCTACACTGTGTGCCCCGACACAAACACTTTAATGCATATTAACGTTAACATCGTTGCTGCTCAAACACCGACATGCTAATGCTAGAAAATAGCTACACCCAAAGGCTTTAGTTTCCACTGATCAATTGTTTTTTGAAGTCTGAATGAGGGGAAAAAACATATTGGGTGGCTGGTTTTTTAAAATGATACTTATTATTATTTGGGTACTTTTTACAGCCCACACATTTACTTTGTTGTGGAGTCTTGTTGCTTTCATTAATCCTATTTTCAGCAAGCAGTAGGCAGCTGTTTTCAGGCAAATAATCTCTTAAAAACCCACAGTATATGACTTGCCCATCCCTAAATGAAGGATAAAGACAAAGATTAAAGTAAATATTGGCAGGGATTAGGGATGTCACGATACCACGATTTTAGTGGGTACCAATAATCAATTAAATGAATGCGTTTCAACTGGAAACCTTTTTATTTAAACAGGAATGCACGTGTGTTCTGACGCAGATCGAGGAATATGAATCAGGATTATTTATATTGTATTGAAATCAGCCAATCCTTTATATCAGACACTACTGAAAAAGGTATCAGAAACGACTCCACACGGTTGTGCGTAAAAAAACCAGCTGTTTTGCTGCAGCGAGTTTTGTTTTTTTTTCTTTGAACTTTTCTGTACAGCCACCTTTGTCCTCCTGGTTGCATGCCAGGTATATGTTTATCTGTCTCTTTGTTTAATGTGTCAGATGTTTTGGATCAGTCCCTGGCCGGAGTGCCAGCCGCATGAACCGGCCAAGGTGAACAGGTAGAGAGGGAGACAGAGTCCTTGGAGAAAGCACAGCTGTCAGAAATCCAATGCCGAGGCCTGCGCCGATGCCAGACGCTCTCTCTCTGTCTCACATTTTGTTAGATCTCTAGCTGAGCTCTGGCCCAGTGTTTGAGAGTATCCGTTTGCAAGCTCTCCATCCTTTGCCACCTGACCCGGCTTGAAAGCCACGCAGGCATGTGCATTTGGCCTGTGCGTGCGCACATAGGTGTGATCAGCGACAATAAGAGACAGACAATTCCAAGATTAATAGGTGCCTACAAAGAGACGAAAGGAAGGGGAGCGTTGCAGACTGAAAGGAAGGAGGATTCAGGAACGAGTCTGGACGTGAGTTTGGTGTCCCTGTCACCTGGTTGGAATGCAGAGCTCCTCATTTAGAAGGCTGTGTGATAAGATCAGGAGCAGACACACAGCATTTCCTGCCTACTGCCATACTGTCACTCACCACTTTATGAGACGTACAGTCCTGTTCTTATCCTCCGCTAACACGTACAGACTGTTTAACCTTTTTAAAGATACCTGCTTTATGTTTTTATGATTATTAGCACTTTTGTTTTCTGGGACGGAGCGTTCCGTTGGGTGTATAATGAAGTGTTACATTTTTGGTTGTATGGTTTTTATCAACATGGCAAAGAAGAAAAGATGTGGTTACACACATCGGATAACTCTTCCGGAAGGTTTGTTAATGCTTCAGAAGGATCGTAGGTTTTGAATTCCCATGACTCATTGCTCTGGTCGGTCCTAAAGAGAGGCGGATGTAAAGCGGCAGCTCAGCAGTGTAATTCTATACACGCTGGAAGCTGTGTCCTCATTTAGTTAATCTGTGCATTAGCATAGAAGTCGGCTGCCATACACAGGCAGTCATGGCTCTTTCTTGCCAGCAGGACATGGGGAGGTGGGCAAACCCCCCCGCAACCAGGAAGTCCATGGACTTGTGTGAGTCAGCTTGAGAGGCTGAGATTTTAAAAAATAAAATAAAAGCAGAGGTGGCGTGAGACTTAAAGGACGGTTGAAGAAGGTGCACTCATGTGACACCTCGTGTCAAATGTCTTCAGTGTGTTGGTGGAGGATATTTCTGATACAATTAAACCGTTAGACATGCGATTCAATTAGGTAAGATGTCTCACTTAAGCCAGTGAGCTGTTCCTGTGCGTGAATCGCCTCTGAGAGTTTAATACAACACATAAAATGCGGGGGTACGTCTTCGATATTGTTAAAGATTAAAGGCAGGGTTAAATGCTTGCAGTACGCTATATTTAAAATAGACACTTCCTTCCAGCGTCAGAGTCTTCATACAGGTTTGCATAAAAATAGAGGAAATGGTTTTATTTATAGAAATGTTCTTGATTTTTATCTTTGGTCCTTAAAATAATCTATTTATATTTCCAGTCTCACAGAGAAGGAGAAATGCAGCGTCAGGACTACAAAATATGATTACTGCAATAACGTGAAAGCTAATTACCAACCGTTGGGGGTGGAGACTTTTTTTTAAAACTTTTTTATTTTTCAGTTTAATATTTTTTGCTTCTATAACAATGTACCCGCACACTTTAATGTAGGACCCGAGAGAAAGATTACACGTCACCACTATAACGTGACCGAGCATCAACTGCATAGTTACAGCACCGGGAATTTAAAGCTTTTTGCAATAAAGAGAAATTTCTGAAAGCCTGACAGAGATTTGCTTCTGAGCGTCAGTCGTCTCTGTCCGATTGTTAATATGAACTTTTATGCAGCTCTCTGTGCACATTTTTAGCCTTAACAACGCTTCAGCGGTATGTGTGCGTAGTTAGCCGTGTGACTGCAGACCTGTGATTTAAGGGGTGTTGTTGCAGTGATACGCTCACTGAATGAGACTTGGCTTTTTGGTAAAGAGAGTTTGAATGAGATTATAGGCCTCTGCTGTCCTCTTCTTTCATTCACAAATTAGCTGCCTGCAAAACATATTCATCAAGAATTTCACTCTGATGATATAGGACGACTCCTGTAGGCAGAAGTCTAACACACTTCAAACATGTTTGAATATCCCTGGAATAAAAGATACAACGAAAATGGACAAAAGGGAGGCTGTGCTTCCATCTCATCTACCTGTCATGAAAAAAGTCTACATTCAAGCTTAAGTTGGTGGTGGAGTAGGGGGTTATTGCTGTGTGAAAGCTGTGGGCAAAGTAGAGGTCAGAAGGCCTGTCTTAAAGGGACCTCACGCCCTTATGGATACTGTCTAATTAGCAGAATTGAGCGATGCTGTCGGTGATCCCGGTGCGACCGTGTCGTCCTGCTGGGCCTTTTTTAAACACGACCAGATTGATCGGCGAGCCCTTTTTATTCCTCTGTCGTGAAATAAACCCATTGTCCTCCTGCCCAGCTTCACAGAAGCACCCTGCTGAGCTTATTTAGAAAGCATGCTTAATCTAATTCGTTCCTATACAACAGCAAGTTAAAGAAATTGGACTGTTAAATGAATGCGATTGAAGTCATTTTCTCACTGCAGACAGCCAGTTTTGCCTGTTCTGGTGAAGCTGGTGCGCTCTGTGTTTATTTCCCCAGTCATGTTTGGAAAAAAGCTACCAGATCTATTCCTGAAAGGAGAAGTTTTTTCTTTTCTTTCTTCACTGGCAAAGCGATAATAACATCATATTTATTCCATTAAAATGAAAGCATCTGCACAGTTACACAATCTTTTTGTTTGATATCTCCAAGGAGAGCCACGGTCCCACAGAGAGATTAGATGATGCACTTTTTGTTGCACAACATCCGTTTCATGGTCCTAGCTGTGAGTCATCCATTAGTTTACAAGCAGAATTCACTGCCACTGCATCCTTGTAGAAAACAAACCAAAATAAGATAATAGTGGAAGTAAATGTCAAATGTTTGGCTCATGAGCATGTTTGTTCTTATTTTTTAATAAAGTGATAAACTCCAAGTTTATTAATCTCTTTAAATTCTCCTTGTTTCTGTTTAGATTCGAGTCATTTCTGTAACCACATATCTGTCATCAGACATCAGCCGATGGGGTTCTCAGACTCATAATTATCGTGGATTAAGCTGATCCCTGTTTTTGCATCTAGCCGCTCGGGATCTTGTTAACCCTTTAACCTTAATGACTGTTTGAGAGGGGAAAAGATTACACTGTTAAAGTGAAGACTTCAGCGAGTTTCGGGAGCGAAAATAAATGCAGCGTTGTCAGTGTCTCGTTTTTGACGTATCTGCTTTTTTTCATTTGAGGTAACACGAGGCAGCGAGTCGCACTACAAAGTAGACATTGTTAACATCAAGGCTATTATTTATTTCTGCATCATGAGACTAACTAAATGTTGGTCTGAGATCTTTAGGTCTTTGGTTTTTGCACCACAGGATTTTTTTGTGTGGTTCCAGAAGTTAAAAAAAAAAGGTTACCCAACATTGAGAAAGCATAAGAGGCCCCTTTTCCCTATGTGTGGAGCAGTCGGCCAAGAGGCCCCACATTCCCCTCAGAAAGCGCTATTGGTGAGTGTTGACATGAGGGCTGTGTGATATCACTTTTCGCAGCTCCCACATAATCATCTGTTTCATGCAGGATTACTTTCCATTTCTCCACATCTCTAAACACGCCTTTGAATTTTCACACTTTTAATAAAAACTTCAGCGTACTTGTGTAGTTTCTGCTGGCGTTTGAGAATATCAACGATGTTTTTTCCTATAAATGTTTGTGCACAGTAAAATAATCGGTATGTTTCTTTCTTGCTGCAGCAGACCTATGTGTCCTCCGGCCACCAGATGGCACCCCCCAGTCCCAACACCAACAGTAGTAGCAACAGCAGTGGCGGTGGAGGGGAACAGCTGAGCAAAACCAATCTGTATATTCGCGGCCTCCATCCGGGGACCACGGACCAAGATCTGGTCAAGCTCTGCCAACCGTAAGTCATTTTTTAACTTTTGGTTATTTTGTACGTAGCACAGCAAGTCGAATTTTTATAAAGTTATAAAATCATCCTCTTTCTCATTTTTTGAGTTACCATCTATCTATCGTCAAGTGGAACATAAAACTATAGGTCGGCTGGGGTTAGCTTTGGAAAACATGAACACTGGATGAAGGAACAATCTAGCTTGCCTTTATTCCATCTATGAAATCCTCGCCTACCAAAAACACTGTATATAAAGGATTAGACGTGACCACAGTGACATCACTGATTGATAAGCTAAGTTCTGTTTCAAGTTTCGAGCCGAGTGTGCCGTTCTAGCTTTTTGTAACCAGTCACGAGTCCTAGATAGATCTGACTGTGAAGCTGAGGCACTAAAACCACCTTCACAATCCTACTGTTGACCAAAAAAAAAAAAGACAAAAGGAACATTGTGCTGTTTTCAGTATAAATGGAAACTACTGACGGAGACCATAAGCCCATCAGGAAAGTGCTATTTGACAGCCACGGGGTGTTAAACAACCAGACTTCTTTTTGCAGCCACCTGCTGGACCTTAGAAAGACAGCACTTCTTCACTGGCTTCCTTTTCCAGATGTGGAGGCTACCTCCATCTTTTAAATACAGGCTTTGATTTTACACACACAGAGAACTAAAAATGGTTACACAATGGAGACTTTTTGGCAAACAACTTCACATTTTTTCCAGAGTCTAATTTTCACTGTAGCCATCGTAAACTAGATGCACTATGCAAATTCTTGTTTGTTTCTGTATGTAGACAGAAGACCTACTACAATCTGTGATATGCAATAACACTGTTCTACTGTGTGATGATTAGATGACAGTATGATTTGCAATACAACGTCTACACAGTTCAGTTGAGAGTTTTCCTTAGGTTGGTGTGGGGCTTACATTAGGTGTAGATGCTGTGTTTGAACGTGTGCAGTGATAAAGGACTTTTGCTGCTTTGTGTGAGATAAGAAGCTGCAAACACATTAGAGAACATCCTGCAACGTTTCTCTGATTCCTTTAGCTGACATGCTGTGTTTGCATCTAAGTCTTGCAGTGGTAGATGAAGCCCCAGACTTAATCTCATGTATGTAACAGTCCGTCCCATTGGCCACGTGTGTGCGTGCTGACAGTGAATGCGTGGTGCACGCCTTTCAGGTTGAATTTTCTTCATTGCACATGTTCCTCTCATAACAATGAAGAAACCGAGACTTATCTGTCGGTGCTAGTGGACACACATGTGTATTGAATGCTGATTGGGGCCTTTGAGGTGCTGCTACTTCTGGCCTTTAAACAGAATCAGGTTAGCTGCTAAGCTAAGTTTATCCTAACCTAAACCAACATATTCTGACTGTTGGAGTTATGGTGGTGCGCTCATATATACCAAGGTGTAACCTTAGTTTGGGTTTATGAAGCACTTAAAAATGCCTGTCTTATGTTAGTTGTGATAGGGGTGAGTCTTATCACAACTAAAGTCAGTTGAATTAATCTTGATGGGATAGGTGCTGAGATAAAGAAAAGAAACTTACAATATTTCCTCATTTAAACTCAGTGATGCCAGACTTGTACACCTGGAAACAAACAGCCTAGCCAGTGTAGTTAGCTTTACAGACAAGCATGCAGTTAAACACCCAAACTGGTTTTTGGCTGCTGCAAGTGAGTGCTGTACGTCAAGCAATACGAAGTGAACTTCAGCCCCACATCCATCAGGGCTCTTTCACAGTAAAAGCACATCCCTGTGAAGAAGCTTACACAACTTCTAATTTAAAAATGCCCGGTCATATTTCCAACATCATAGACCATCCATCTTTAAAACTTTGATTTTAATCATCCTGCCCATACAGAGAAAAGTATCAGAAGTATTAAAATCCACAGGGAGAATTTACTTGGCTTGTGACCACACACACACATACACACACTCATGAATTGTCGTGTGTGTGAGCAATCTAAGAAGATCAGAAATGTGCAGATGTGAAACACAGGAAGTTTGAGTGTTAAAGAGATTTACAGAGAAGCCATTGTGGATTGGCAGAGAAGTGGAAAGAGGACGGAGACTTTAGAGGAGGGTGGGAGGGCTACTGTTGAAGGAGAAACTTAAATGAGCGGGGAAAAAAGTAGCATGGCCTGCTGGGAAAGAATGTCAGATGACCATATATGGGTTAGGGCTGTCTTTTAGGCCCCTTCGGGCTCCATAGTGTGCTTGGTTGGTGTTCTCCTGCAGAGGAGCCGAGGTAAGCGCAGGGTCACACAGTCAGTGCCCGTTGACCTTTTAAACTCATAGCATTGTTGTTGGGGAAGTCATAAATGACAGCTTTTATTTTTGTCTTTGGTTCTAATTATAACTCAGTGATCAGTAAGTCTTAAGTGAGTTTTTTAGATTTCTTTAGTTTAAAGGCATCAGATCGAAACCAGAAAAAATAGAGATACCTAACATCAGGTTAACCAGTTTTTATTTAAGCACATTTCTATTGTCCATACAACAAACATAGTAGTTTCATTGTGCCTAATGAACTCACAGCAATGCCACTAAAGACCTTTGGTTTCTAGATAAATGATAGTTAAGTACAATTCAAGGTCAAACTCACATTTATTTCACCTTAAAGTTGTTTCAGTCGGACAATATTCATACCTCGAGTACTGACATAAAATCCACATTGATAATAAAAATATTTAGACTTGATTCTCACCTAGACTTCACTTATATCTCTCATCTAAATTTTGCTCTTTGCTTGTAAATGCCAAACATTTTTGCTTTTTCCTAAATAATCAGACGCTTACTGTTCTGACATAATCAGGTGACAGGTGACAAAGTGCTTTCTGTAAAAAGACTAGTGGATAAACTTAATGAAATTTGTCTCAGAAGGATGTGCGTAATGTGTGTACGGCATCTTTACTTCCGAGGCTTTATATCAGTGAAAAGACACCGCTATAAAAAGAAACCAGTGGCTTTCAAGTCTGTTTTAGTTAAAGGTGACTGGTTATTTCAAATTTCCAGCTCCTTGTTTCTATTCATGGACCTTGCTAGATTAGCCTGGTGTGATTCAAAGTTCAAAGAAATCCTTAGCGCAGTCCCTGAGGTTGTCCGCTGTCTGAAACTTGCAGTTCTGTTAGGTCCGTGTTTGTCAAAATAGGATTATTTAATGACTTCTGCAGCCATTTTTCTTTTATTTGGCGGTGTGGGACTGTTCTGTGTAATGCAGGGAAAGCAGCAGCACCACCACAAATGCTTCACGTAACATAGCAGGCTTCATTGACAATGCACGTGACATTGATTAAGTCAGCAAGAGCATGAATAACATGAAAAGGAGGAGATTAGGCGGAGGTGGGTTGCAAAGTGTTTTGGAGAAGTTGAGCCATCAGCTGATTTGGGCTGGCCACCCTCCTATTACAGTAGGTCAACTTCCTTTGACTGGCTGCCTCTCATAAACACAAGGGTTGAACTCCAGGTGGGTGGGGTTGCTGCTTTCATGGCAGAAGGGTGCTTTACCTTAACGTGATTATCCACCTTCATTAACATCGTAGTAGTAGAAAAAATGCAATCAGAATATTTGTTCAGGAATGAAATGTTGAACTGCACAGGAGCCTCAAAGTAACCAAAGCGTCCTGTAGTACAGAGTACGGCATTTGCATCCAGAATAAAGTGATGTAGACGTAAAACACAGCACAACATAGAAATACTTGAAGTATAATTACATGAAAATGTCACTGGACACGTTCTGCAGTTTCTCGAATGGCTGTAAACAGCACAGCACCAGTTCAGCTTTGTATACTAACAAAAATCCACCATAAAATCAACTGTGTCCATATGTGAAAGCCAGAGGTCCAACTGTAAAACTTCATTTGGGCTTGAATGGGTTACATTATATCAGGGGTGTGTGTACATTCATGCCTAACAACCACTTTGCAGCTGTTAGATGACACTGGGACAGTATAAACATAGCCTGTGTTTATTTGGTAATGGCTGATGAATTATTAATGCCTGCAATAAGGAGCTTTTCTACCACTATAAACTGTGCAGCGGAGCTTCTAGATTATTTTAATTCATCATAATCGAAATGCATATATACGTTTATTTGAATATCAAACTTAACACACAGACATAAGCTAATAAGGTCAATGCAAACATTCAGTCATGCCCCACCGCGGTAACTGGAGTGGAGCCATAAACGTTGCTCCTATATAACTTCTGGTCTTTGCATTTAGGACAAAAGTGGAGGAGTAGCGATGTCTTTAAATTGAATTGCCAGTCATTACCCACGTCTCTGTTGTGACCATCAAGCTTGGTCTGAGTCATGTGGTTAAACGTGCACTGAAACAAGGCCGGAGTGTAGGACCCAGCAGTGTGCTACCATGTGAGGGTGGAAAAACAGAGAGAGAGAGCGGGACGTGGTGGGAAGGAAGGAAGGCGAACTGGAGGGGTGAAGCATCAGGTTACAGTGTACATTCCGCCCAGACGCCATGTTGCCCAAACAGAGGAGCACCAGCCTCTCTCACTGGGTAAATTCACCAGACAAGGGCAGGTCTATTATACTGTAGTGCTGATGCACCGTCTTACAACACTGCATTCCATTAGTCTCAGCATGTTGCATAACACTTCTCATTTGCTGCCTTTAAGGTGATTTTCCTACTATCAATATTTATGTGGCTGGATGTATGCAGAAACTGATTTTCATCTTTTACTGACTGACCTTTGTTGTACGTCTCCGTTGACAGCTGTGAACCGAAATGACAGGTTAAGACATGAACTTGTGTTTCGCACGCTATATTCCTTCTTTTGTTTGTAGATGGGTGGATGAGAATGCATTTTCCTGAAAATTAATATCCCAGTTTGAGAGTCTGATGTTGCAAGTGACAAGACGTTTAAGCTGTATTTAAGTCAAAAATACCCTAAAGCAGAGCTGTATTTAGAAGAGAGGTGTTAGTGTGTTAGTCTGTGTGTGTGTGTCTGGTAAAGACAGGCCGGGAACAAATTGTTTTTGGCCCTGGGGTGCCGTCCCCTGTCTTCGAAAACAAAGTCGGGGAACAGAGTTACTGTACGGCGGCCTGAACAAAGACACGAGGGAGGAGTCAGACGAAGTTTTCAGTGCCTCTTAAGATCATTAAATGCACACAAATGGTTGCACAAAGGATTTTGTATTCGTGTTTACACCTGTAGTCTGGCAGCCAGGGGAAATTTATAAATATTGGCATGCATGTGGTAGGAGCAGATTCCTCTTGTTGCCTCATTGTAACCTTGTCCACTCATTCATCCTGTATTCTGTGTTCTTGTCTCTTCCCTGAAGGTATGGCAAAATTGTGTCGACCAAGGCCATCTTGGACAAAACTACCAACAAATGTAAAGGTAAACTCTAATAATCTTTTCAAAGACTGGGTTGTCATGTTTTTTTTTTATTATTATATATACATATTTTTTTGAATGTCATTTTCAGTCATTCTTTGGCTGTGGCGAAGCATGCCATTTGTCAAAGGGTTAGGAAAACACTGTTTTTCTGTATGGCCCAGAATTAGATGGAACATCCATGTAGCTCATAAGGCCTCAGTCACATAGCTCTAAAGACTCCAGATCAGTTGACATGTGCTTGCTGGAGTTTGCTGACTGCTGACAAGCAAAATCTGTTGCAAAGAGGATGCTCCACCTAAAACCTCACCGGATTGCTTTGGTCAGTAGCAGACTGCCACAGTCACCAATAGTTTGCACAGAAGGCATGTACTTGGCTGCAAACCCTTTGCTCTTGGAGATGTAGCGAAACTTGAAAAAGTGCAATGTAAACCACAAATGGAGAATGTTCACCTTACAAATAAAAAACACTGCTACCAACATGTTTCAAAAAGTGCATCTTTTAGTTTGAAGACAAATGTTCTCAATGGGAGGATGGCTATCGAAAAGCTTCCATTCTTAAGGAAGGGAAACATGGAGGAAAGGCTGAGGTATGCCACATTACACAGAACTGGACTGAAAATCAGTGCAAACCAGTTTCATGGAACGATAAATCCAAATTTGAAATGTTTGGTTCAAATTGTCATCATAATGTACAGACAAGGTCAGGAAAGAGGTACAACAGTGAGTTTTTGGAGCCCACTGTAAAACACGGTGGAGGCTCTGTCGTGGTTTGCAGCTGCTTTTAGGCCAGTAGTCTTGGGGACCTTGTCAATATTGATGGAATTGTGAATGCAGGAATGTACAGACATATTATGAACCACCATGCAATACCATCTGAAAAGCAACTGATTGGCAACGGCTTCAGTTTTAATGACAATGATCTCAAACACGCTGTAAAAGCAGTAGAAGCGCGCCTAGATGGAAAACACTCAGTGGAACACTATCAGTCATGGATTGGCCTCCCCAGAGCCCACACCTCAGCGTTATTAAACCACTGTGGGATGATCTTGACAGAGAATGAAGCAAAAGGCAGCCGACATCCAAAGAAGATGTCCTTCAAGAAGCCTGAAGAACTATTACAGAAGACTACTTAAGCTTGCGTATCAGATTCAGCTTGTAACAATAAACGTGGTCATACCAAATACTGACTTTCAAGCTTGTTAGAATTGCTTGCACATTTCAATGAATCACTGCACTCATTTCCCATTTTTCCAGCAAAATGTAAAGAAATGTGGCTCAACACTTTTGTAGAGTGCTGTATTCAGCAAACGCATGGCATCTTTTCATGTACTTCCTGATGCTACAGCATTTTTACCATCAGTTTGTCTGTTTTACAGGCTATGGCTTTGTGGATTTCGACAGTCCAGCAGCAGCACAGAAAGCTGTTACAGCTCTGAAATCCACTGGGGTCCAGGCTCAGATGGCTAAGGTAAGAATTAGCCAACTATCTTGTATCCATCTACCACTTGTTGCTTCCAAGTTTACCAGCCACCATTAGATTTAAATATGCCTTGTTTAGCCCATCACCCCGTCTTGTACCCGTATTGATCTTCCGAGAGCCATCAGCTCAAGAGTCATGGCCCCATTGCTGCGCACGTACACACACTATCATGTAAAAGGTTAAAAACTGTTACATGCAGTGGCCTAATTGGCAGCGACTGTGCTGTTGGAAAGGGTTCAAAGTAAACTCTTGTCTATAGGGAGGTGTGTGTGTACTGAGATGTCCCAGTGATGCACAGCCCAGACCTGCAGAAACAGTTTGCTGATCATATTTTTTATTGCTTGTTCCTCCGCTCTGTTCGGTCTCCTCTCAAATCCTCATTTTGCCTCTTTCTTCACTGTCCTCCGCACTACCTCCTGTCTCCTTCCCCCTCACGTACTTCATTTCTGTGCTGTGTATGTTACAAACCTGCTCCTGTTGTAGCACTTGTTCTGAACTCTTTGTCCAAGTGTCTGAAGTCAAAGCTACTCTTGTCGGCCCATTAAGCTGATCCCTCTGGCTCTGAGGCTCCCCATTGAAGGAACCCGGGGGGGAGGGTGCCACTACACCCGCTGTCAATGGGACAGGCACAATGGACTGGCATTGTCCATCGCCTGGGCCTGGGCCTGGGGCAGACACCAGCACTTAGTACACTCCACGCCGGCGTCAATACCTCCTCCCTCTATCTTGCACCCAAACAGACCCGCAGCAATGTAACACCAGGGTCTCCCTCAGAGCAGCGCTGGAGAACTGTAACGGATACACACTGCCAGCTGACCTGAAACAGTCCAGTGCAACTAAAACCTGAGTCTAAGTTCACTGAGCTGCTTCTGTAAGAGTGCCATACAATCCTGCGTATCTTTGTACTTGACAAGTGCAACTGGACACCATAACCTGACTCACCCAGACAGCATGTGCTCAGTGAGAGGTGTTGATAACCACTATATAAACCTAAATATACACCGCCGTCTCAGAGTCAGTGGGTATTTCAGGTCAGCAAAAAAAAAAAAGAGCTATAGTCAATGGTATTATCAATATCAAGGGCAGGTTCACCTGCCAGCAGCTTCACCATGGCTGCTGCAGTGTTATTCACAAACACAATGAACCACACCTTGAACTAGATGTCCTTAGAGTGTGTGCTAAGTCCCTGAACGGGCCACCCCAGCCTCCAGGCTGCAAGCCCAGAGGAGCTGCGTGTGTAGGGGCAGCGAAACAATGGCAAAGTTAAAAATAGAGCCCCCTCCACCCCACCCCCTCTGTTTGTTTTTTTTTGTTTTTTCTTTTTTACTTCTCAGCACCTCCCTGTTTGAACTCAGACGTCATCACCCACACGCTGCTCGACACACAAACACCCAAGCGAGCTAACGCGCAGACACACCTTAACAGACACGGCTCGGTGAAGGCCTGGCACAGACAATACACGGTGACACCTCAGCAAATCCCATTCATGCGCCTGAGCTGCGCGCGGCAACATTTTAATACAGCAGGAGGAAAATTGTTAGAATATCAAACCGTCTGCCGCGTGCGCTGGCCGAGCTAAAAGGAAAACAAAAAAAGGGAAAAGGGGTGGAGTTTTTTGTTTGTGTTTGTTTTGTCATATGGCTTTGAATTCCATTACTGTCAGCTGGCCTATGACCCCTGCGGTTTGCTCCTCTGTTGCATAATAGCTGTGTTAGCAGGAATGACGGCAATCACAGAAAATAGGTTATCTCTCCACCAGATGGCTTAGAGTAGGAGATACTCACGTAGGCTATAAAACATTTAAGATAGCTGTTGACATACTTTAATGCCATAAATGTTCTCAGGAATTCTTCATTGTCAGATCGCCACCTCTGTCAAATGTGCCCGAACAGCTTGGCAAGTATCTGAGGTACTGGCTGTCCTCTCCTGGTTGTTGCTTGGATCAGTCCAGTCTAAACAGTTGTAACTCGATTTGCCTCGCTCGCTGACAGCTTCTGACAGCTTCTTCTCCATCCAAATTTAAAAAGCTTTTATTATTTGTGGTGTTCAGAGCTGTTTGATTGCATGCAGCAGGCACTGAAAAGAGGAGATAAAATGGTATAGAGAGCAGCCTGCTAGTCAGAAGACACCCATCTGTCTTCTTTTCTAGTTTCACTCTTTTTCTGTCATTCTCCTTTCTAATTGCCCAAATGACTGCAGAGGCCTGGGTAGGTCCTACCCTGCGAGTTTCCTCCTTATGTAACAAAATATCAGCCTTTTGAGTTATTAATTTCCTCCCTCTTTCTTCGCTCTCCGTTTTTTTTTTCCCTTCCCCTGTTTTTTAGCCCAGCCTCTTTTTTTTCATGGTTGCCAGGCTCCTGTTGCTCTGTGAACTCTTTAACTTCATGCCTGGCTTCCTGTCTGCTTCTGCATAGTCACACAAGGTTTCGCTTTCAAGTAGTGCCACCAAATGATCTCTCCTCTTAATTTACTCACAGATCAAGATCTCTTCATTAGTCAAAATTATACCAAAAAAGCACGACTCGCTACCCCTGTGCACAAATTAATGCTTTGCAAATGTCAGAGTGTTTTTTTTTTTTTAGCGTGCACGCAAGGTTTTTCAAATCCTCCTCAGCGGTGGCAGTGACACATAGAAAGTGGTGAGAGATTATTCAGGGTTTCCCTTTATTGGTCTGTCACTAATTGCTTAAAAACATTTCAGCAGGTTCTGTTACTAAATTATGCTTGACACGCAAATGTAATTTAATCAATTTGCCAAGTGCAGTGGCAGGTGTTGATGGAAAGACGGGTCGCACTGCTGCCTACACAAAAATTTGTGCCGTGTGGAAAAAAAGATTTTTGAAAGTGAGAACATTTTTCTATTTGCAAGAGTGCCAGGAAAGTGTGCTATAATATATATATATTTAAATTGAAGCCGGGAGAACTTCACTCTTTAAGCAACTGTAAATACTTGATTAAAGCAGCGGCGTCTGCACCGACACGGTCGCTTTGAGATAAATAATAAAAAGTCGGCGCCGCGTTTCCTCATTCAAAGCTTAAGAAGATGCACGAGCGAATGGATTCTCATTTCTCACTTTCTGTATAGCAACAGGAGCAGGACCCCACCAACCTCTACATCTCCAACCTGCCCGTGTCTATGGATGAGCAAGAGCTGGAGAGCATGCTCAAGTCTTTTGGCCAGGTCATTTCCACCCGCATCCTCCGAGATGCTAATGGGACCAGCCGCGGCGTCGGATTTGCCAGGTCAGAATGTGGCCTCGCATGGTGGCCCATCGTGTCTTGAGCACATTTTCTGTTATCAATTACATGTAATTTGTGCAGCTCTGGCACGGACCAACCGAATGCAAACAGCGCTTCTCGAGAGGGATTAATTTGAACTCTGTCTGGTTTTTCAGGATGGAATCCACGGAGAAGTGCGAGGCCATAATTCAGCATTTCAATGGCAAATTCATCAAGACTCCACCAGGAATACCCGGTGCGTGGAATGTTTTTTTTGTATTATAGAAACCTGATACTGTTGTAAGTGCTGGAGCTGAGTGTGTTTTCTTCCCCACTGTGATCAGTGAATTCACTCTCTTGTTTGACCTGTTGCTTTCTCAGTGCCCACAGAGCCCTTATTATGTAAGTTTGCAGACGGAGGTCAGAAGAAGAGGCAGAACCAGAGCAAATATCTCCAAAATGGAAGACCTTGGGCTAGAGACGGAGATACGGTAACGTCTTTTTTTCTCTCCTCTAAAATTCTGGAGAAAAATCACATCAAGTACATACTGGAAAGTTTTGAATTTAATCGTCCACACTCTGTGCTAGCAGACTGTTTTAGTACGTACTGCGTACTGTGTTTGCATGACCTCACTGGTTCTGAATCCCTTTTTTGTTTTCCCAGGGAGGAATGACGCTTGCGTATGACCCCACAGCCTTACAAAATGGGTGAGTGGTATGCACGGACTGACTAAAAACAGTCCCAGCCCTCCAGGAAAATAAACATAGCAATCAGAGACTGGTAAAAGGCTGCCCTCTGCTGGACATTGCAGGAACTCAGATATGTTGCTAAATTAGCTGGAAATTGTGGACATGTTGCAGTTTCCTTCATGTTTTCTTCTTGTTGCTCTGTGTGTTTGGCAGCTTCTACTCCTCACCTTACAGTCTGGCTCCAAATCGAATGATTGCTCAGACTTCCCTCTCTCCCTACATGCATTCTCCTGTCTCATCATACCAGGTGGGACTTTTCACTCTGTTTATATTCAAATTATTAGTAGTTTTGTTTGTTCATTTTTAGCCCTGCTGGCTTTTAAAATCTGCATGAAAGTGAATCATGTATTTTTCTGTTGCTTTTCTGTACCGAATCCCTCATTAAGGTCACGTTATGTAAGTTAACATGCAGAACGGCTGCTTTCATCCAGGTCCTGTCTCTGTTCTTGTGACCTTTTTGTGCCAGCTTACACATTAAGGGCTCTGAGGGGACTGTGACAGCACCAGATGAAAAATATCGAAAAGTAATTTTGCGATGTACTCCCGCCTCTACAGGTACACAACCCGTCCTGGATGCACCATCAGTCATACCTCATGCAGCCAGCTGTGAGTATCCCTTCTGGTCAATGCCTTCTGGTCTTTTCACTTGGCCCACAGGGCAAAAAAGCATAAACAAAAGTGTAAATGCAAAAAGCGCTTGAAGCTGGATATACAAATCAAAGTGTCACAGCAATGAAAAAGAACATAGTTCTTTCTGTTACATGGAAATCAACAGGAACAAGCGGCCTCAGTGGTCACACAGGAAGCTGTAATATTTATTGGATCCCTGATAGTTGTGATCTTTAAGCGTACGCTTTAAGCATTGACCTGCTTTAGGGAACGCCATTCATGAATTAGTCTCAATACTTTTTTGTGGTTGTAATTACGCTGCATGTTAAACTGGACAATGTATCTGTAGCTGCCCAGCATCAGCTGCATTGCTGCCACTATCTGAACTTGACCAGTGGCAGCTATGATTTGCATTAACCAAATGAAAGGAAAAATATCTTCTGCTGGGTCAGCTTTTATGGAAAAGGGATCAGGGTGCGTGCCGAAGCCATGTGGAAAACTTAAAGAGGAATGCACACCTGAAAGGGCTTTTGTTTCATCAGTAGATATCTACAGTTTAAAAAAAATAATAATAATTAAACGTGTACCAGTGTTATTAATAAAATATGATGAATATTAACCTCTGCATTTTAACAAAATGTAGTTTCTAGGTGATACATGTCACACTCTGGGACTGCATTTAGGTGTGTGTCTCTGTGTGTTCGCAGGGTACAGTTATTACCCCAACAATGGAACATGCCATGTCCATCCAGCCCACATCCATGATGGGACCTCTCACCCAGCAACTAAGCCACCTGTCTCTGGGCAGCACAGGCACAGTCAGTACCAACAGACACACAAACAACTGTCCCCGTCACTAACGACATTTACAAGTGTGATTATTTGCGTGAAATACTAAACACACAGTCACAGATTTCGTTTTCCTCCCTGTCTTCCCTACAGTATATTCCGGCCAATACAACTATGCAGGGGACCTACATCCCCCAGTACACCCCAGTGCCTCCTTCCAGCGTCCCAGTAGAGGTATGAAACGTTTCCTAATGTCTTAATGATGTTTTGTTTTTCCATGAAGTGGCTCAAAATGAAAACTCCTTTGTGGGACATGCTGTGTAACTAATAATTGAACGTGGCTAAAGAAATGGAGGTGGTTGTTCAAAGGTGCCAGCTGGCTGATTGAATTCACTCGATATCCCGAGAGCCCTTTTAAAGTGATCACGAATTTACCAGCTAAACCTTTAACTGCGGCGTACGTCCCTGTGTCTGTGAAGTCATTTTGTTGATGTTTTTGAGATCAAAATGACTTAGCAGTGCTGTCCTGCCTTCTTTTTAATCTGTGAAACAAATGTGCCTAGTTTAGGTTGCAACTGCTCATTTTCCTTATTCATTCATAAATCTGCCAGATATTTGATTCATTAAATATGTCAAATAATGAAATATAGAAAAGCATCTGTCATTTTATTGCTTTATTCGGTAAACAGCACCACTTAAAAGTGCTTTTAAGAAGCAGCAAAAATTCTTTCATCGTGTTGATTATCTGTTGAATGACTGATTATTCCAGGTCAGCACATGTGTTTGCTGCTTGAACCAAAGAGAATATTTCCAGCTGGGAGAACCTGTATAAATGGAGTGTCTGCTTCTGTTTCCGCCCAACATTGGGCTGAGTCCATGTGTAACCTTTGACAACCTGAATGCAGCCATATGCGAACCTCAGATTTAAGACTATTACCTAACCAAGCTTTGGCAATTTCTTTATGTCTTTCTTTATTTACTTTGGCCATCACTGCGCAGTCTGTGTGTTCCAGGGCTGTATTGTGGCAGATCCAGGCAGAGTGCTCTGCAGTAGGGCCTCTGAACCTGTGGGGTGTTTTTAAGCCATTTGCTGAATGGAGCTCAGTGATAGCAGTGGTGGCCTCTTAGGTGACCTTGTGAATGAGAAAATGGATGATTTATGAATGAAGTACAACAGAAAGCACATGAAAGGGGGAGGCTGTGAGTTTAAATCCAATATTTGCTCTTTGTCCATGCACACAAAAGGATAAGATGCATTTAATGTGATTAGGAAGGGAGTTTTAAAATATCGTCTGTCTCCTTTATGCTAACATCTGTGTGGTTGTTATGAATTATTAAGTGGCTAAACCTGACTTTTCTTTTCTTTTCTTTTACCTCAGGAAAACGGTGGCCAGCAGCAGCAGGTTGCAATGGAGACTCCTACAGAACACACAAACTACTCATACCAACACACCAAGTAAAGCTAAGGTAGGTAAGGTCGCTCCTTCCTGCAAATTACAAATATGTGGACGTTTGTAAATTGCTTAATTAGCAAAATTGTAATGAGCATGAATGAAAACACAAGTCGTGGTTAAAAGGGACACAGATGATTACAATGGTGAAAATATTACTAAGTTAAAATAACTTTTTTTAAGGAGGTTTCCACAAATCAAAAACTCTAGAAAAATAATAATAATAATGGATTACATTTATATAGCGCTTTTTGAGACTCTCAAAGCGCTGTACAATTCCACTATTCATTCATTCTCACATTCACACACTGGTGGAGGCAAGTTACAGTTGTAGCCACAGCTGCCCTGGGGCGAGGCTGCCATATCGCGCCATCGGCCCCTCTGGCCATCACCAGTAGGCGGTAGGTGAAGTATCTTGCCCAAGGACACAACAACCAAGACAGACAGAGCTAGGGATCGAACCGGCAACTTTCCGGTTGCAAGATGAACTTCCCAGCCCTCTGAACCATGGTCACAATAAAGACATGATGGTCATTGTGGCTTCTGGATGGGGGCATGTTTATGAGTGTTGTTCTTTGTTTAGGGACTTTAAAACTGAGAAATTCTCTGTACACTCCACCTACATATGTGGTTAAACGTTTCTCAGTTATTGAGCCTTTGAAGAGCAAAATATCAAATATTTGAAATGTAATTGTTTGTAGCAGTGCTACAAGCTGATCGCCTCTATGCCACATCGCGTTGATGCAGTAAGCCGAGGGGAAGGAGCCTGAACTAAGCACAGAGTGTATAAATGAACATGCTTTTCCGAAGCTGGACATTATTTTATTGTAAATCCTTTTTTTTGTTGCTCTTATGAAAGATTATAATCTGATATTAGATACTGGATTTCTAACTTTCATGAGCTATAAGCCTGTATGCTGTTTGTCATATCCTTGCCTGGACATGTGCACCACATCCAGGGCTGCTGCTGCCATGTTTAGATCCCACCCTGGAAGTCCCCATTCTTCCCACTTTAAACTATCCGCAGTGGTTACCAGATCTTCTCTGCTGCGTCAAAATTGCAACCCTCATGGTAAAGAGGTTGAAAACACAGGGCATGCGGTGAGTGAAGATTGTGCTGCTGTGACTAAAAAACATTTTCACGCCAGGCCGCAGCACGGCTGAGGCTGTTTGCACCGAGTGGTCGTCTCACTCTGGGGTACTTCATTGGTGCATCAACCGGTGATTGTGAAAAGAAAGAAAAGGAGAAAACATATGACAGATCATTTTCCCGAGGTGATAAATCACTCCAAGGTTTGAAAACTGCCTCAGCGGGAGCCAACTGTCATCACCATCGGCTTTATCTGACACCAAGTTTATGTTTGCTCTGA